TCTGGATTTCACTTTTTCCAGTGCTCTTTGGTAGCAAATGCATTTTTTATCAAACACATTGTGCTTGTAATCTATATTAGGGATTTTTAAGACATCGTGCGCGTATCTACAATTTGTACATTCTTCGGTTGTCGATGAGCACATATCCCTTTTATGATTTTTATTACACAATGGGCAAATCTCATTAGTTTGTTTACATTGAGCAACTTTGTGCCCATATTTCCAACACTTGTAGCATCGCAATACCCCTATATATTCATATACAGGAAAACTATCCCAGCCTATAAAAATTTTTTTATTATTTATCAGACTGTTAAAATCCTCCGGCGACACTTCCAGCAGTACATTGTGTAAACGTTTATTCTTCGGTATATACATTTTAATAATTTTGATATCCCTGTTTATAACATTAGACAAACAGTTTTGATTATCTATCAGCTGACTAAACTCTTCCTCATTATTGATATACTTTGCTTTCATGTCAACAATAATAATCTTTGGATTTACTGGTTTGGGAATTTCTATTGTGTAGCCCTCTGACAGTTCGGCAACCGCTGTATCTTGAAGGTTTTTCATTGACTTTTTATCATTGCACTCAATAAGAACACGTCCTTGACCAACTGTTCTAAAACTTTTGACTTCAACTGATAAATCTGACGGGTTAATTTTTTGCTCTACAGTTTTTTTCGTAGTGGTACTATCTTGACTCACATCCTTGGGTTTTATTATTAACGGCGGAAATAAAGTTTTCTTCACCACATTTGACCATGATGATTTGCTATCCGCAGTAGATGCACCAAGATTTTGAATTATATCCGTAGTGTTTACTCGATCCTCTTTTAATTGAAATTCCAGTTTTTCTAATTGTTTGGAGATGTTTATCCTATCATTAACCACATTGGAACAGTTATCGCAATACCAAAACAGGTTTTTGTTATCATTTAATGCTTTATAAACCGGATCTTTTATTTGTACACACTGAGCATGGTAGCTCTGAAAACATAATTTACACTTAACAGCCTTAGTATTAACAATAAAATTTTCAAAGCATTGGGCACACGCGTTCATACACGACGAACTCATTATTCCAACTGTAGTTCTGGTATATTTAAAAATACCTCGAAAAAGTAAAGAGGTACTATTATAACACCATAAGAGGTTTGTATCAAGGAATTGGAATGCCCTGTGCTCCTAGTGAGTGGCGTTTATTTATTAACAGCTCGGCAAATAGCCTGAAAGCAGTTTATTACATAACGGAAATGAATTTCCATCTTTTCCAGTCGCTCATTCTGTAAATGTGAAAGAAAACTATGAAAGTGTCAAACATTTACTTGAAACTTTGAAGTATCAAGAGTATAAGTGGCAGTTCATAGGAGATTTCATGATGGTAGGATTTTCAATAGGACTACAGGCTGGATATACAAAATATCCGTGTTATCTCTGTTTGTGGGACAGTAGAGCGAATGCTCAACATTATATTCAAAAAATCATGACCATTAAGAGCTGAATTTCGTGTTTAGAAGCAAAACGTAAAATGTGAACCAATTGCTGAACCTGAAGTACGGACTTATGAAACAATTTTAAAACAATTAGATGAATGATCTGAAGCTTTTACGGTTTTAAACAACTTTTTCCCAAAGTTGTCAGAAGCAACGGCTAAAGCTGGAATTTTTGTTGATTCGTAAGTTAAAAAGTGCTCAACAGAAAAGTTGGAATAGTTTTAAAAGAGTAGTTTCTGGATTTTTAGGAAATAAAAAACTTGAAAATTACCGAGAGCTAGTTGATAACTAGATAGAACACTTTAAAACTATGGATTGCAGAATGTCTCTAAAAGTACATAAGTATGCTGCATGCTCATTTACATGATTTTGAAAACAACATGAGAGCGTATTCAAAAGAACAAGGACAACGTTTTTATCAAGATATTATTGCTTTCTAACAAAGTTATTAAGGTTAATACAACGAAAATATGATGGGGGACTACATTTGGGTTTTAGTGAGAGAAAATTGTTATAAACGTGNTGAGCACTCGGGAGTCAAAAGAATAAATAAAAATTTAAACTATAGATTTTCTAAAATATTAATCAACTATATCCTGGATTCAAAAGCAAACTTTTTCAGGCCACATATCTTTTTTTCGTCCTATCTACTATCGATAAATCTATCTAAATTTCATACCCTCTTATCAAAGACAAAATTCGTGATGACCTGTGTTATACTCGAAGCTAGTAAAAACTATATTAGTACAGGTCTACATACCTACATCATTTTACAGTGATGAAGATGTAGAAGCGGTTTATGCAGATATAGAAGACGTGTTATGTTAAGTCAATGGGCAGGAAAACCTAATAGTTATAGGAGACTTCAACGCAGTAATAGGTGAAGGTAAAGTAAGTGCAGTAGCAGGTTCGTTTGGATTATGCATTAGAAATGATAGGGGAGATAGGCTGATAAACTTAATGTAACCGTTGCAAATACTTTATATAACCATCACGTTAGAAGGCGCTATACGTGAAAGATGTCACGTGATTTAGAGAAAAATAAGTCAGATTACATACTTGTTATTATGAATTTTGAAAACCAATATTAAATTGAAAATTCTGAAAAAGAGGGAAAGTAGGATTCGTCTTAACTAAGAAAAGCTAAAATGTTACAGAACGCGTGATGGGCAGGAGATACAAATGTTAGGGACATAAAGACAGAAAATAACTGCATTAAAACATGCCTAAAGTTAGCAGCTACAGATATACTAGGTCTTAAACAAAACAAACGCAGGAAACCCTGGATAACAAATGAGATTGTACGGTTAATAGAAGAAAAGCGGAAATACAAAAACAGAACAGACGACAAAGGGCAAAAAACATATAAGGCTATAAAGTAGGAAATAATTAGGAAGTGTAGGGCAGCTAAAGAACAGTGGATTGATAGGATTTGCAAGGAAGTAGAAGAAAAATTTATTTTAAGTATGTAAAACCGAAGATTAGGAAGGTAGTCAGATAGGGATGCACACTGTCACTGCTACTTTTAATCTATTCATCGAAGACGCCATCAACATCACTAAAGACAGTATAACTGTAGGGATAGATATACAGGGGCAAAAGATTAGTATGCTTAGATTAGCAGATGATATAGCAGTATTAGCATCTAGCAAGGAGGAGTTAGAGATATCATTAAATAAAATGAAAGCGGTATTGACAAAACAGTACTGTATGAAGATAAATAAAAGTAAAACAAAAATACTGGTATACAAGGGAAGGAAAAGTAGGGAAAGGGCGAATATAAAGACAGTAGACGAAAAATTAGAAGAAGTAGCCGATTTTAGGTATATAGGAAGTCAGATAAGTCAGGACGGAAGGAGTAGTAGGGATGTAAAGCAGAGGATAGCGCAGAGTCGAGTCGCCTTCAATAAAAGGAAGTCACTTCTATGCTCGCGAATGGTTCATTTAGAAATTCGAAAAAGGTTGTTAAAGGTTTGGAGCACGGCGCTGTATCGGTGCGAAACATTGACAGTGGGCGCGGCGGAAAAGAAAAGTTTAGAAGCGAAATATGGTGTTACAGACGAATAATGAGGATACCGTAGATAGAGAAGGTAAGAAATAAAAAGGTATAAAGAATAGGAGAACAGAGGACTCTATGGAAGTAAATAAGAAATAGGCGAGATTGGTTAGTAGGACAGCTTCTCAGGCATGAAGGTCTAGTCCAACCAGTCTTAGAACTAATGACTTTTCGATGATACTAAATCACACAATTTGTCACTTCTTACACCAACTCTTCCGATCTCGCGGCAATTATTTAGGATACTGAATATTATATATACTGGATTACCTACAAGAGACACATGCATTTTTTAAACGGAAATAACTTGTTTAATTTAAATAGAACACCCCGAATTTTATATCAACAACAGTCTTGAAATTTAGTCCTCCATCGAATACTATTACACCTACCTGTAGCTAAATGTTAAAATACACACATTTTCAGAACGCAGAGATTTTAACAAATTTAATATTTATCAAGTCAGCTACGACATATTGACAGGTCAGAATTACATACAGAACAGCTGGTAAAAAGCAAATACATTTTAAATATTTTAAAATCCTTACGGTTTAGCTTAATAAAACTCGCTGTTATTTTTATTATTGAATCTAAAAATGTAAAAATATATAGGGACACCCTATATTCCATTACGTAAAATACCAACTTTGATGTAATTTGTTTTTTGAACAGCCATGTGCCACTTATGAATCCTATCTACCCCCACAAGAAAACTTTTGAGTAATCTGGAAATATAGCCGTAACGTTTCATATGGAATAACGTGAATAACCCTGTATATGCTGCTCTAAAAATTTAAAAACATTTAACAAAATAAAGCGCTGTAGAAAGCGCATAGAATCTATGTTATTTATTTATTAATGAAATCTAAATCACTTGTGAATTACAGAAAATGTATTGTAAATATTTCAAGATATTATACTCATTATCAGATACTAAGCTGTCTAATACAGAGCCGGGCAAACTTTAACTTCGCAGGAGCCGCTACATGAGATTAGTTTGAGTCACTCTTCAATGAGTACGAGAGAGTAAGAAGTAATGAATAATTTTGTTTTGTCTTTTTCTTCTCCCTTCCACTCCCATATCAAGCCCCTTCATCCTGTACACGAGCGAAGCCACTCTCGTAAGTTAAATAATACCTACGAAAATTTTCGTTACTACGTTCGCAATACTTTGGCTATGAAAGCGGGGACTCACCTACGAAATGGAAGGGATAAGAAAAGGAAAAAATCATCTCACTCGCAGGATCAACGAGGAACTGCTTGGTTATCCTTGAGGAGCACTCGGGAGTCAAAAGAGCCGAGTTTGCCCTCGCAGGATCAATGAGGAGCTACTTGGTTAACCTTGAGGAGCACTCGGGAGTCAAAAGAGCCGAGTTTGCCCGGCTCTGGTCTAATACGAAAATTTTACAGATCCTCTAATAAAAGCCATTTTTATTTTCTTTTAGGTTGGTTCCCAGCTACGCCTTCATTATATTTTTCTATGCATCGATTTTTGAAAACACTGGAAGTGGCCCGTTATGGAAATTAATTATAGAACCTGAAGCGACTGATTGTAAAAGAAACTGGTGGCTTAGTTTGCTTTTCGTTAGCAACTATATCAATGATGAAAATATGGTAAACATTAAATCTTAAATTTGAGCAATAAGTTAAACTTCCCCTACCACATACAATAAAAGTAGAACTTATTACTTAATTCAACTTGAATCAATTCTTTGAACAGTTTGCATCTAATGTAAAAAGCTATGTTTTATCGGATGTCATTTAAAAGAAAATGGATTTGACACAATTGATATAAAAAGTATATTTTTTTGAAACGGGAACGGTGTCCATTTCTTTTCTATATTTTGGAGTATAAGGTAGAATCAAAGCCAGGGTATCGGCAAAAAAGAGTTTGTTTCTTAAACCAAGGCAGGTTTGAAGCCAAGTTTCTATTTGCAAAAGGTGTTGGACATGAAAATGATATGAATTGCAGTTAGTACGATGTAAAACAATAAGTTCGTACAACATACAGGTGTCTACAGACAGACCACTATAAAATGAACCATTGAGTCAGTTGTTTCATCCAATCACGTGTGCTAGTAGGAGAGGTACAGCCGAGTTTTTCACACGTGATCTGTAGTCGTTCCAATTTTATTTTTAATATATGTAAAAAGGATGTAAAATAAACCCTTCTCGACAATGGCGGATAACCACACCGCTGTAAGGGCTGCGGGCGAAAATCAAAATCTGTTAATGATATGTACTCTTTTCGTCTTTCCTACCTTCTGATGTAGATTATTTAAAAAGTATAATTCCAAGCGGGCAGATAACTAGGTCTCACTAAAGGGGTGAAAAACAGACTTAAATATATCGCTTATGTGTTGCGTACCACGATTTTCTGTGTTATCCAGATTTTATTTACTATACAATGTTCAAAAATATAAAAAGGTATCGTTTAAATGGCAGCTGTGTGAAATATGGTTCCAATTGAAAAAAATTGCAGGAAAAATTTATTCACAGTGTTAAAATATGGGGCAGTACAAACAATCGTGCAATAAACGAATATTTTTTGATTCCGTTCAAGGGGTTTGACTCGAAAAAAAAAAAACATTTGAATATCGACGCGACTTTTTGCATAGCCCCATATTTTGGCATTCTTAAAAACGTTTTACTATAATCTTTTCAATTAAACCCATATTTCACACGGCTGACATTTAAATGAAACCTTATTTTCTTTATTTTCGAACACCCAGGCCATCTTAAATTATAATAGGGAACAAGTTTTGCTTGAAAAAATTTTCGGTTAAAAATACAATTTGACCGTAATAGCATACCTACGCCAACTTTTTGGACCATTTGACTCAAAACAAAAAGAAGTATTTTTGCATTCTGATTGGTTGATTCTCAATTGGACCCATATATAACATAGCTGCTATTTAAACGAAACATTATTGCTTCTGTTTTAGAACACTTTGTATTGTAAATCAAATTTAATTGCTACAAGTGATCTTGAACTAAAATAGGGAAGAAGTTTTGTTTGAAAAAATATTCGGTTATATTTTTTATTGAATGGTAGTTATGGATTTCTAGGCACAAAATATTAAAAAGTAATTAGCACAAACCTTTACCATGTGTGTGTAAAGTGTGGCTATCAAGCGCGGCCCTTTCTTCATATATAGTAGGAGCGCGCGCAAAAGGACGATCAACTGTCCAAGGATTCCTCTGCTTAACGACACAGCGCTCGAGACTTCTATACTTATCTATAAATAAATGAAATAATCTAATACTCTCACTTAGAAGTCATAAGCACACTTACAATTGTTTGTTGTTACATGAAACATTACATATAATCAAATTTAATATTATTCTATTTTTAATCGACACACAAATCAAATTTCTCAATCGTTCGAAAGCTTTTACAGGTTATGCCTTTGTTAATATGCCGGTTTGTTGATCAGTTGAATTTACATGTTCGAATGTAAAAGCACCATTTTTCTAATTATCTCTAACAAACTTACATTCTATAATGAATGTGCTTAGTGCGACAATAATAACGCTGATCTTTAATTAATTAAATTGCGCTTTGATAAAATCAACGTATAATATATATTTTGAATCAATCTATATTCACACATAATCTCTTGAATAATATAAGAACAAAGGCTTTCACGGCCAGAATCCATAGTGGAATAAAGATTCGGGCTATAGGGTCGTGGTCTAAGTGAACTATTCTGTTCAGACGTTTCGCCGGCTACTGCGGTTGACATCCTCAATGGTAGTGCTGCGTTGACAACGTGAACTTTATTCTAATATTCTCTTGAACGCCCATGCAAACAGCTATAAATTCTGATTCAGTGATTGATAAAGCAATCACACTTTGTTTGCGGTATTAATATTAGTACAATTAATATTGATGAATCACACTTTTATAAATTAAACCATAAGATAATGTTCCTTTTAAATATTTTATAATACCCTTGACAGAATTCCAATGTGTTTTAGCTGGATTTTTAGAAAATCTACTTAATACTCCCACTGCAAAGGCTGTCGGTTCGCGTAACATTAGACATTCAATTGCTTCTTTAAAAGGAATATTTGAAGGAGTGATTTCCGCCTCTTTTTCAACAATTATAGCTACAAAACTTAGATAGGTTGATATGCGTACATTATTTGATGTTTTTAAGTTAAATTTTTCAACAATTTTGTCAATGTAGGTACGATTTTTGATGCAAAAACACGGAACCTTCAGATAAAAAATCGATTTCGATGCCTAAAAAAGCATACTCTATCGGAACCATCCTCAGGCTGCTTTATATAAACAATGTCTTTGAGTTCTCCATTTAGAAATGCGGATTCAACATCAAACAGCAGAAATAGCTAGAAAAGTTCGAATGGAATTCCATCTGCAACTGGGCTAAAAGTATTGGTGTAGTACCTAGTTGTTTTTGGTTTGAAGGGAACCTCTTATAACTAGTCTTGTACGAAATATTTATTCACCTTTTATAGGATCTATTTTTACTTTAAATACCCAATGATTTGTTAAAATTTTTGCATTGGTAGAAAATTTACTTAAAACTCAAGGTTTATTTATTGTAAGAGCTAAGATCTCATAAACCATCCCACTTTGCCATTCAGTTCTAATTTTGATTGAATTGCTTCTTTATAATTACTTAGTTCACTTAAACATGGCGTTTACTGCTTCAAACAAGCCGAAAGGGGTTGTAATCGCAGTTTTTTCGACATCTTCTGATGCCACAGGTATTTGATGACATGCACGCACCAAATCCATTTTCGAAAATACCTTTTTGCCATGTAGGTGTTGGGCGAAATCTTTGATGTGGGATGGAGAATATCGGTCGGGTACCGTACGAGCATTCAGCGCACGGTAATCACCGCAGACTGTGATCCTTCTAAGTGACTAAGTGCAGTAGTGATGACCACGGGCTTTTCGATGGTCGCAGAATCCCTTGATCAATCATTAAGTTAAATTTTGCTTTAACCAGTTGTAAGCGATCGGCTGCAAGGCGTCAAGGTTTACTATGTACAGGTGGGCCGGGTGTCGTCTTAATATGATGTTGTATGCCGTGTTTAAGAGTTTCTAGCCCGAAAACAGGTGGTCGAGTTATCTCTGGAAAATTGGTTAATAGTTTGCAATACACAGATTCACCAACTATTGTTTTTATTGTTGCTAGGTTTGTCTCATCCGGGTAACCATTGGTTGATAAAGTGGTTATTGAGTCAACCAAACGTTTATTGCGGGGATCGACGAGTAGTCCATAGTATGATAGAAAGTCTATTCCTATTATAGGGATATTTACACCGGCTACTATGAAACGCCACTTAAAATTACGACTTAAATTAAAGTCAATATTTACAACGAAGGTGCCATAAGTAGGAATACGCGTGGCATTTGCCGCGAAAAGTTCATACTTACATACCTAAAACGGACTGTCGAAATTTTGTCCATTACGAAAATGCGGCGTGAACTGGAGCCGTCGTCGAGTGCCGCATGTATGGACGACTCTACTCGTTTCCCGAATTCCAAGAACAGGGAGCACGACATTTCGTCGCTTTTTCTTGCAATGTTTGGTGGTACCAACATAGCCCATTTGTTTTAGGGGATTTTGTTGAACTTTTTCCTCGGCTTCAACTTCTAACTCGCGAGCGGGAAACGGAACGTCGTCGGTTGGTTGTAAGTTCACTTATTTGAAGCCATAACTGTTTTATTTCTTCACGTAACTCACAAACTTCATTGTCTTTGGACCCGGCCGCGATCCATCCACGATCTGGCCGAATTTCCTGAATTCGGTCGGCCATTTCAGTGAGCGATGTGATGCTGGTTTCAGAGGTAGCAGCTAAAACTCGTTGAATATCAGCTGCAAACGATTTTTCCATAGAATAAGAATGAATTCATCGGGAATGAAAGGTATTGCTAGTTTTTTAGGTCTTTAAAAAATTGAGATGCCGTTCTATCGCCGATTTCCTCACTTTCCAGCAACTTCCGCACTCGAAAACTATCGGACTCGGTCAGTCTCTTCACTAGCACGGTTTTTAAAAGTTCGTACGAATTTTCTGTCGGTGGATTAATTATTACGTCTTTTACCTGTTCCATGTACTGTTCCCCTAAGTTAGCGATAGTAATGTTGAATTTTACTGCATCCTTGGTAATACGGGCCGTAGCGAACTATGCTTCCAACAATCTAAAGCATAAGGCAATTTTTTGAAGCCAAAATTGCGGAATGTTTAGATTTTGATGGCTTAGTGCGTTAACGTTTTCGGTTTCGGTGTCCAAGCACTAGCGTCTAAATTTACAGGGAGGTACATTTTGGAGGGAAGACGGCGACAAGAGTTTACTGAGAATACACACGGCACTATTTACTGCACTCGCGATTGAATGAAGTTGGTATTTACCGTAATCGCGTTTTAAATCACGTCGGGGTCACCAATTTTTAGTGGTTATGTGTATTATAATAAATAAAAATTGGTCCGTATCTTAAAACCATAAAATAAAATACCGTTACAGTTGGACCCTCAGCTTTTGCTGGTTTTTGCCGATGCGAAGCAAAACGGTTGCTTTTTATAAAATATTATATTTTACCGCTACATTATCTATTGGAAAAATCATCATAATTTAA